GCGGCCACCTCGCGCTGCTTCCTCCGGGCGGCGGTTGGCGCTTGTTCCTCCTCGCTGACAGGAGCCGGGGATCGAACCGGCGGTCCTTCCTTCTTTCCCTCCCTGCCTCCCTCCCTCTTCCCCCCTACCCAACCCCGCAGCACGGGAATGGGAGGCGGCTGAGGCTCCGACTCGGAAGCCATGAAGACCCTCATCGCCGCCTACTCGGGCGTCCTGCGAGGTAAAACCCCCCCCCGGGGAGGTGGGGGTGGGTGGGAAGAAGGATGATGGAGGAGGAGGATGCTTGAAGGGGAAATTTCCTGAGGAGGCGAGCTAGGGGCGATCCGCTCGCTTCGGGCGCTGAAAGTTAGGGAAGGATGATGGAAAGGAAAGGGTTATTTTTGATGGGAGCTGGCAACCCGAGAGAGGACACGCGTTTACGACCAAGGAAAGGTTTCATATTATACATTTATAACCCCCCCCCCAACACCAGAATCGTTAGATCGTTGGAAAGAGGCCGGGCACGGGATCCTGCACATTAAGATGGAACGTATGGATGGGAGTGTGCGTGTGTGTGTGTGTGTAAATGTATACTATATATAAAATATATGTGTCTTTCTCTCTCTCTCTCTGTAATATGCATGTTTGTGTGTATAGTATATTATATATGTATACATACATATGCACACAACAAATACACATACACACACATATATATAAATATAAATACACACACATATATATATGTATATATGTGTGTGTGTACAGTGTGTGTGTATATATATATATATATATACACACACACACACATACTGTATATGTATATATGTGTGTGTGTATATATACAGTATACATATATACACATGCACACACACAGTATGTATATATACACACATATATATAGATACACACACATATATAAAATTATGGATGGGAGTGTGCGTGTGTGTGTGTGTGTAAATGTATACTATATATAAAATATATGTGTCTTTCTCTCTCTCTCTCTGTAATATGCATGTTTGTGTGTATAGTATATTATATATGTATACATACATATGCACACAACAAATACACACACACACACATAAAGATAAATACACACACATATATATGTATATATATGTATCTATGTGTGTGTGTATGTATATATATACACACACATACACACACAGTGTGTATGTATATATAAACACACACACATATATAGATACATACACACACAAACCATGTATATCTTTAAATAGTTGAATATAATATGTATATGTATAAATTTGTATTCCTGATGGTGATGGGTTACACTGCAGGTTTAAAAAACAGGTTAAAAAAGCTATGAGGGGAAATGTGGGGAGTGGGTGAGGAAAAGCCTCCCCCCCCCTAGATGGAGCCTGGCCACATCAGGATCCCCATTTGGAAAAAAATCAGTGGAAATAATAACATTATTTCTAGAAGACAGTCTCCCCTCAAGCCATGTTTCTTAGGCCTGGTTAGCGGATGATGATATGGGGGGGGGGAGGGGGCTCG